ACTAACATTCATCTTCTTGGGCTTTGAATCTTTCGCTAAGTGTTTAATCAAATAGAAGCAAAATGTTGGAGAGTGAGAGGGAAAAGCAAAAAATGTGACTTTGTTTTATAATTTTATTTTAAAATATGAAGGCATAAATTTAAATGATTAAATTGAAATGAATTGTGTCAAACCAAAATTTAAAGATAAATTTCTATCAAGTGAAAATTATAATCATAAGACACAACAAATGAAATCTAAAAACTAAATTTGCAATCAAATTAAAACTACAGTCATAACATTATCAAACACACAATAAGATTACAATAAGATAAATATTTACATGCATAAAAAAATTTTAAACATACATGAAAAATAAAACACTTTTTATCATAATCAAAATATTAAATCATATGATAGATGTACTTACCTTCTTCAATCTAGTGTCAAAATGAGTAAGATTTTTGAGAGGTAAGAAGAGACAAATGCAACACTTATTGAAAAAAGGAGCAAAGGAGAAGGAAGATGCAATGCTAGAAGATGAAGAAAAGGAGAAGGATAATTCATGCAACAATTGTGTAACTTATATTTATTTTGAAAGCTTATTAACTGTGGACATGCATGATATGAAATAAGGGAAAGAAAAAACGCACATGCTGATGAACAATATACACAAAAATATGTTCCATGAACCTATTTAATTCAAGACTTGATACTACATATATTTTCATACACGTCTTGTAGCGTAATGTCATATCTCAATAAACAATATTAAAAAAAATTAAGGTAAAGTTGGCGGAGCACGCAGGAAGTGGAGCTTTTTTCCACTTATAACTGGGTATTGTAGAAGCCGAGTTGGAGAATATGTAGGCAGCCATCGATTTTCACAATTGCTTGTCCATGATTTTTTTCTTTTATTTTCTGCCATTATATTATTTCACTTTTTTGACACGAAAAAGACAAAAAAAAGGTACTACCATGTGAAATCTTTGTCTTTCTTTACCTTGTCTTGAATCCATCCTCCGTTATGCGTACTTTTTTGAGTTATAAAAGTAGGACCACATGAAGGAGAGAGAGAGAAGAGAAAAAGTGAGGAAGAATCTGACATATAAATTTACTAAGATAGAAATCAATTTTTGCACATAAAAAATGTAAGAAAATATTTAAAACTTGGTGTTTCTCAGGCCACTTTTAACTTATAATATCTTGATAAATAATTTTTAAAATATAGTATTTTAAAAAAAAAATTTTTCCGTAGCACGATAGTCTATTTGCCATGAAATGACCGGAGGGGGCAATCGGTACTCCCATCATGCTGTATATATATGTAATAGAGGTAGTTAATGTACTGGCCAATGGCCAAGCTACTTTTTTTGTTTTTGTTTTTCTCCCCCCGACTTTAGTGTGGAGCCTTTTAATTTAGCGAAGTTACTGCCTGCCTTTTTCTTCAAATGTTCCTTCTCCATGTCCTTACAAATTGCGTCTCTTTGTGAATTAAGCAATGACGTAGCCACTAAGCCGGCCAAGGCAATATTATCTCATCCTTGATCCTAGGTTTGGTTGACTGATAGGGCATTGCTGTAATTACAGTACTGTCAAACACAGACTTCAAACTTCTAAAGTTCAATCAAACCCTGACAAAGCGCAATTGACTACATTTGCCATTAAATATCAAACACAGATTTTATTTTCTTCGCAACGCAGCAAAAAGATCATGATTTACAGTCTTTAACAATGAAAACAACTTATTTGTTAACGTCCAAATCTTAACATAATTTATGTAGAGAGATATTGAAAAATAGAAACAGTTGTCCATAGCCTAATAAAATATGAAAGAAAACTACAAAATGGGAAAAAAAAAGTCATGGAATTGGAAATGTATATTGCAGCGTTTTTTTTAATAATTAGTGTAAGGCCGTATACATTTTATATTTCATTATATTTATGCTTTTCAAATAATATACTTATTTTCTTAACATTTAAAACTACATTAAAAATATTAAAATGTGCGTATATCAGAGATTACACAGAATTTAAAACGAGTTGCACTATTTATTATTCGTGAATCATGTGAACATTGAATAGATGATGGTGATATTAGAATGATGTATTGATTCCTACATCCACGTCAAAGGTAGCACCTAAATTTCAGTTTTTTCTTTTTTGACGCTCTGTTTTTTTTTAAAAAAAAACTTGTTGTTGTGTAAAAAAAATATATTGTTACCATGATAATTTCAAGACGACTCGAGATTTGGGGCATTTTGGAGAGTTGAAATGTTGTTGGCCAAAAAAGAAAATGGAGGGTTGATATATTCCAGAGTGGAGTCCTTAAAGACATAACAGAGTCGTCAGGAGGTAATCGAACTGACGCAAACACAGCCTAATTGGATTGATTAATTAGTTGAAAAGTTTGAAGTTTGAAGAATCAGTGACAGCTATGCTTGCACCAACGGCTTTATGCCTCCTTAGAAAAGCAAGATCTGTGAACAAATTAACTAGAGAGAAAAAGTTGCAAGTGTTCATATCTTAGACGATGTTTTTGATGCAACTAATAGTCAAAGTCAAAGAACGCAGCTCCAGGATTAAGCTCAAAAGTAATGTTACAAAATGTCTGACCGCCAGTGTAATCAATGAACTGCGAAGGTGATTTATGTCCGTAACCCTCCCTCTTCATCCACAATTTAAAGCGCCAACTTTGAATAATGTGACAGATCAACCAAATGTCTAACATTAGTTGAAGAGATTAGAAATTAAAAAGAAAAAGAAAAAGAGAGAAATGATCCAGGGTAACAATAAAGTGTCAGTTTCATATCCAATGTCTGCACCCTAACTGTTCCCATGGAATGAGAATGTTACTTGTTAATTATTATAACATTTGTAAACTATTGTTCCCATGAAAAACAGATTAATTATTGTTTCCCACAATAAAATTTATGATATTTTATAAATTTGTAAATTATTATAATTCAGAACATGTACAAGTGTGGTGACAAAATCTGGGGATAGAAATGAGAATGTAAGGGATTGTTTGAAATTATTTTTATTTTATTATTTTAAAAACTGATGTTTATAAAATATGTTCTGAAAACAAAAATAATAAAAATATTTTTTATTTTTTTATTTTTCAGAATAATAATCTCAGAATACCTAAAAATTATTTTTATTTTTTTATTCTCTAAAATAATATTTTATTTTATTATTCTCTAAAATATTTTTAAAAATACATTATTAAATAGATTTTTTTATTATTTTATTTTAAAGAAGAAAACTATTTTCACAGAATAAGTTGTCAAACAGCTCCTAAAATGTTAATCTTATACTCCTCACTGTTCCCATGATTTACCACTATTTCATTTGATACCCAACGCTTTCGTTGGATTTGAATTTTTTTTTTAAAAAAAATAGACATTTTGTCCAATTTCCTGGAACCAAGTAAAAACAGTGTTGGTGGCCCCACTTGTTTTCCAATTCCATAGCCGAAAAGCACATCAGAAAGTGTGGGCGCACGAAGAGTCAAACGTATGACCCTCCATTCTCCATTGACCATTCACACGCACACGCGATTGCCTTGTTCGCGTTGCAAGTTGCAACTTTCCAGGCAAGCAGCACTCTCTTCATGCCTCTCACTGCCTTACACACGCTCTCTATAAATACCCCATCCCCTTCTCCACTTTTTCTCATCACTTGCGATTATGAAGAGAGCCAGAGAGCAGCAACACCCTCCTCACGCCTTGGATCTCGCTATTTCCCTCTCCCTTCTCCCTCCCCCAATCACGCCCCACAGCATGGAATTTGAATGCAAGACCTGCAACCGCAAGTTCTCTTCCTTTCAAGCTCTTGGAGGTCACAGAGCCAGCCACAAGAAGCCCAGGCTTGATTCCCAAGCCCAGCCCCACAAACCCGATCCCGCGAGATCGGTGCACGAGTGCTCTATTTGTGGCCAGCGATTCTCTCTGGGACAGGCCCTCGGAGGCCACATGCGAAAGCACAGAGCCGCCGTCACAGAGGAGGCCGTCCCCTGCTTGCCGGTTCTCAGGAGGTGCAACAGCAAGAGGGTGGTGTGCCTCGACTTGAACTTGACCCCTCTCCAGAATGACCTCAACCTCCTCTTCGGAGACAGGGCTCCTCAGCTCAATCTCTCCCTGTGCTCATGATCTCCTCCTGCTTCTCTCTTCTTTGTTTTCCCCTCCATTCTTTCATTCTTCTCTCTCTGTAAAATTATGCCCTCCTGGCCTTACTCTTTGTATTTTTATTGGAATTCTTTCATTTCTTTGTATCATGGTGTGTGGTTATAAGTTAATTACAACTTTGACCTCAGAAGTACGCAATATTATTTGACAGCATTTAAATTGGCCAAGCAGCACGATTCTTCTTTCCTCTTATATCCTCCGCGCGATTTAGAATTAACATTACACAACCAGTAATTAACTAGTTAAATTAAAACTCCACATGTGCCTCTAACTTCTGTTTCATGCAAGTTATAGACTATCATTTGCCTAATTGTCTTGCGCGCCCATTTTATCAAGACTATTCGCATTATATGGGGGAACATCAGTTGAGATGTGAATGTTATTCCCTTTATTTTAAATTATAAAGTACTTTTAGATATAATCTCATATGTAAAAAAAAAATTTTAAAAATACTTAACAATCTTTTTTTTAAAAATAAAAATATAAACTTTTTAAAATACTCATCATTTAATATATTAAAAAGAAAAGTGATAGAAATCAATTATAGAGAGAGAACATGTAATATTACAATTGATACATTTAATAAAATTATAATTTACTCAAAGTATCTTATATTTTAAGATAAAGAAACTCTTTCAAATGTGCCCTATAATTTAAGAGGAAGGAAATAATATTTTTCTGTAAATATAAGGAATAGATTTCCTCGATGCTAAAAAAAATATCTCCTTTAAAACATTGAGAGGAGTGCTTGGTATATTTTTTTCTTACCTAAATTGCCGTTATACAATATGAATCATCAATCACTTGATCAAATGACAAGAACCTCTATTATTCTTATAAAAAAAAGCCCATAAACCTTTAATTTGTGTTCATTGAGTTGGATCAATATTGAATAAATTACAAGAACTTTCAGGTCATCAAATTTTAATTTTTAAAATAATTAGGTTTGTGGAACTCAAAGCCAATTTAATTTGTTTTTCATATTCCGCTTCGAATTTTATATGCAAGACTTCTATGTATTTAAATAACACGCACATGTAGGCATATCACATAGGTATACATTTGAATTATTGGATGATCAAGGTGTGACGTGATTTCACCCTGAACTCTTTGATCCAAGAGAATGCTGCTGTTAGTCATCAGCACGACATTTTCTTGTTTTAAGTGCTAACTACTCAAAACGCAGACATTAATCGAATATTCACTAAATTTAAAACTTTGTCAGTCAATGAAATTCTCTACATAGTCTATTATGTACTACAAGCAGACCTTGATAATTTTTTTACTGTCAGCCAAATAAATTGACTCGATCCTCATGTCAATCGTTTGAAAATGTAGTAAATTGTCTCAGACGTGGTTGGCTTACGCAGAATTATCCACGTTAGACTGAGGTTCGGGTACGTGTTTGGCCCCTCGTTATGGGCAATGGCCTATGGCCCCTCTGAAATCATTAAAGTTGTATTTAAATGGATAGATTTGAATTAAAAATTTAGACTTGAAATCTCATATTTAAAATACATAAATTTTAATTTTTTTTATTTAAATGATATAAAAAATTTTAAATTATAATATTTGTATGAATCTTAAATAAAATTTTAAAATTCAAATTTCATGTTTGAATTTAGAGATAATTCAAACAATATTAACGGTCCGATTTTAATCAAAGTAGGTGATTCATTACCGATCAGGGGTGACGACCTTATCTCAACCAACTCTAGCAGTCCAAATCCAAATGATGTTAGTGATCCAATCTCGATTGGCAGTTTGATCCCAAACAACGACTAAGGATGAGCACAGGATGATTACAACAGTTTGAGTGTTACGTATTGAATCTAGATGACAACAGTAGAACATTTCTTGTTAATAGTAGCGTTTGGCATTAGATGCTAAAAACAAATTGAAGACGCTAACCACAAACCAATTCCTGATGGCGGTGGTAGCAACAACAACAAATTGACACTAGTTAAATGGGATGGACCGCACTGGACAGTGGTAGCAGACTCAAACTAGATCAAGGCACTAGGCCAGATCAAATGATGATAATGATGGCAAACTAGCATCAGGCAGTAGAGGTTGGTCTTGATCAATGTCAAAGATCTTGTCTTAGTCATCGCCAGCATTGTATGGAAGCTCAGACCGGATTGGCCGGTTTAACCCGTGAACCGATGACATGGTCTCTTTTTTGGTCTGAATTTTCACCTAAATCGACCAGCCATTAATCTGGTGTGACCCGGGATCAATCTGAGATAACTCAATAGCTAGATTGCTGGGTTAGCTAGGTTAGTTTTTTATTTTTTTGTTTTTTTAAAATTGAAAAAACTAAATAAAAATAAAAAAATCAGCTTGAAAATTAAAAAAAACGAGACAATGGAGGGCAAGGCAATTACACTAGATTTTATTGTCTGTAATTTGAACTTTGAATGAAGGGCCTTAACTGTAAGTTCAAACTTAAAATATTTAGTATTCTTTTAAGTTAATTGTGCCTTAATTATTTTAATCTTTCATTATTTATTGTTGTTTATTTGTCTGATTGTTGGCTTAGCATTTATAAATTATGACTGTTATTGTTGATGATTTTAGTGTTAGTGATGATTAGTTTTGAACTTTTTAATGATTGAAAAGTTGTAAATTATAATTATAATAATGAATATTTAGAAAGTTATATTTTATTATTGTTAGACTTTTAGGTGGTTGTAGTTTTATAATTATTGTTGTATTTGTATCGTATATTAGAGATTAATCTTGGATTTGGTTGAATATTTTCATAGTTAATGTCTTTTTATTTAAACTGTATTTTTTTAATTATGATCGGTTTGTCCTCCGGTTTAACCCAGGTTGAACTATTAACCCGTAACCTGTTGGCTTGATCGGTTCAATGATTGGTCCAATTTTTGGTACCTTTGTTGCTAGCGATACTGTCCTAGTCAAAGCCAACAGTCTGATTTGAGTAAGGGCTAGCCATCTACTCTGGATCTGCCTTGGTTGAAGTCGACAATCTATTCTCGATCGTCACCAATGGTTTAGTCCTAATCATTTTCAACTGTCTTATCCCTATCAACGTAGGCCGTTAGGTCTTGATGGACATCAATTATCTAATCCTAGTTGTGGTTAGCAGTTTGGTCCCAGTCATTTCCAACGATCTGATTGTTGACAACGTAAGCTGTTGGGTCCTGGTGGATGTTGGCTATTCAATCTTGGTTGTTGCCAATAGTTAGATCTCAATCAACGCTGACATTTCAATCTCGATCATTGCCTACGATCCCGATGGATGTCGGCTAGACATAGCAATGTCAAAATCAAGAAGGCGACGAAGTCAAATAACAAACATGATTGAAAAGAGAGGCTTCCATTAAAATTTAAAATGATAGAGATTTATAAAAGACTTGAAATTATAAATAGATTGAGGTAAAATTTAAATTTGAGTTAAATTCAAAACCACATAATTTTAATTACTGAAATAATAAATTTAGCTCATGTCCAAATACACATACAGTCAAATATAATATAAATTATTAATAGCGAAATAAGCATGTGCATTTTTTTTTTTTGGGTTTAAAAAATATGATTGACTTGCATCATTTAATCCAAATAAATGTCGCATGCATTATTAAGCCTATTATAATATAGACTATAGAGTAACATGTTAAAAAGCAGTGAGAATTAGTTACGCTATGGTACCTAAATTGGCTTGCATGAAGAACAAGTGTAATACCTTGACCCCAGGAGTGATGTAATCGTGTTGTGTGTAACATATCATGACAATCCCGTTTTTGCCGCTGTATTTCATAATTGCGGTGTCTGCTTTCAAACCGCTTAATCAGTCAATCCTCCCTTCTGCTGCCGTCTCAATCTTATTACAGCCTTTTCATAGTTTGTTCTTTCTTTCTTTTTTTTTTTTTAAATGACAAATGGGTATTTTCATAGTATATTCTTGAACAACATAAGACGCGTGCGTGTCTGTTTGAATTTTAATTAGATATAATAGATTATAAAAAATAATTAATTAAGTAATAAATTTTAATCATAATTAATTATGTTATAACATAATTTGTTTGGATGCTAAGTTTTTAAAATTAATTTTAACAGAATTAAAAATATTTGAATAATTTCTTTAGAATCAATTTTAACTGTATAAATTATCATAAAGGATATTACTTTTTAAAATTAAATTATTGATAAATTTGTATCTAATATTATTAAAGTTGTTTCATTTTATTTAAGAAGTAAAATATATTATTTAAACTACATATATGATTAATTATAAAAATTTAAATTATATTAATATTAACAATTTAATTTACGTAAATAAATAACTCAATATATCTTAGTTCAAATAAATTTAATAAAAGAAAAATATTTAATTCTTAAATACCAAATATCAATTTTATAATAACTAATGAAGATGATAGTGTACAAATTGATCTCTAATGACATTATGAGTATGAGCCATGTCTGACAAAAATGTTAAGTACTGCCTTAAAATTTTGGCAACATAGAAAATGTAGTACTGTTACAAATGATGCAAAATCTCTCTCTCTCTATAGAACTTTACAACAATATTTGTCGTAACTCTAAATTTTAAATTAATTTTCCTCTACTAATTAATATTTTACTTGAATTAGTTTTATAGTAAATGTTAAGTGAAAGGTAATGGTTGACAGGAACTTATGATAGCAACTTTTTTGAGGATATAAAGTTTAAATTTTATTAAAAAAAAGGGAAAGAGTTTGGTTTTATTTTTATTAAATTATGTGCTTTCTTTATAATTTTTTCTTGAGCCTTTTTTTATAATTTTTTTCAACATATTTTATTAGCTTTTTCGCAAAAGCTCAGTTTCTCAACTTTCAAAAAAAAATTAATTTTTGGCCCAAAAATGGATTCACCACAAATAATCAATTAAACATGTTATCCAAATACACGCTGCATCTATTTGGAAAAGCGCATCACACAATTTGATTGCGATTACACGGGGCTGAATGTTATTTGGTATTTGGATTGATGAATTTATATTTCTATTTTAAATTTAAAATCTTGCATTTGAAATTTATATATTTAAAATTATTTATTTGATAAATTTAAAAAAATTTAAATGAAGAAGAGAAATAAATTAAGATTTAAAACAAAAACAAAAGATTAGAAATGAAAAATTTAATTTAATTTTTTAATTGACAAGAGATAAAAAAAGATATGAGAATTATTGAGGTATCAACAATGAAAATATGAAGAAAATAATATGTTTGAAGTGATTAGAATTTTAAATAATTAAATGTAAATGAAATTTAAAATTATAAAGAAATTATAATTTAAAATAGATTTAAATTTAAATTAAATCTAAATCCTCATTAATCCAGGCATCCCAATGTTCATAGTAAATCATTATTTAGCTACCATTATTTTAGCTACTGATGAACACTATCATATAACACAACTTGGATTTCTAACGACTTCAAAATCGCTGAAAAACTAACTTGATAAAATAATAAATTTGTAATACGGCCTCAAGTTACTGACATTAAGACTAAATTAATGATAATGACATGATATTGTTTGAACTTGAAGACCGTCTCACACGTAATGAGGATATTTTCACAGGGCACCATTGCGAAGAAGCTTGCAATATTAACCCCTTGAGAGCTATGGAAGTTTGATGGAACGTGACGCTGCAGTTTCTAACAAGTGAGCCATTTTAGGTTTAGGAGATTACGGGGGCTGGTTCTCTGGGTGACTCAGCCATTATCCCTGATTTTGTTTAACACTTTCCATGGGAAACTAAACGCAAATGGAGACCAGAGAGAGAGAGAGAGAGAGAGAGAGACTCAAATAATATCACGTTGAAGTTGAATGCTTCCTCGGATTACATTGGCTGCCATACCTAACCATGGTAAGTCGATTCACACTAGTGTCGACATCCAGGCTTGAAAAGCCTAGCAGAAGCAGAGGCGCGTAGTTGAGTGTGAAGAGGGAAATTAGATTTATTTAATTAATTAATAATTAATTACTATTGGAACGCGCCCATCCACCCGCAGACTGCTAACAGAGCAGTTAATGCGCGCGTGTATTCTCAATTAAGCACACCAGATTAGTACTTGTAAATGTCAAAGCCCAAGCTGTTGTTATGGAACTTGAATGAATTGGTGTCCGAATGCGACGAGGTTTCTCACCGAGCATCGAAGTTTCGGAAAGACATACTCAACTCTTCACACTAGTAGCTCACGGAAACAACAGTTTTGGTCCCACGCGCTCCTTCTAGACGCGAGCGTAAGCCCCACGTGATCGAAATTCCCGGGGTCAACATGAAGGGACGGTCATTCATTCACGAACAACATTCCATTCCAAGGGGCATTCTCGTCCTCACGTAAAGCCCCCCCTGCCACGTTTGCAGCATCGTTTGAACGGAGACGGACAGGACAGCCTCCGAAACTTAAACCAGTCAAACACTCCTTGACTACGTACTCTTCTTAACTATTACCGTTTATATATAGCTGTCCACCTCTCAAGTTCTGCTCACACATTACAATACAGTACATATCGAATCTCATTCTCACAGACATAAATTAACGCTGAGATTTGAAGGCATGAAGAGGGAGAGAGATTGCGAGAGAATGGACGTGGCCAATTGTCTGATGCTGTTGTCTCACCATGCTCGTCAAGAAACAAAAGCTGAGGGTTTAGAATTCGAATGCAAGACGTGCAAGCGAAAGTTCTCGTCGTTTCAGGCGCTGGGAGGGCACAGGGCTAGCCACAAGAGGGCTAAGTTGGAGGGTGGCGAACAAGACCTGAAAGCAGAGGCCAAATCTCTGAGGTTAGGGAACAAACCCAGGATGCACGAGTGCTCCGTCTGTGGCATGGAATTCTCGCTGGGCCAAGCACTCGGAGGCCACATGAGGAAGCACAGGGCTGCTCTTCACCATGATACGCACCCAGTGGACGACGTCGTTGCCAGGGTCCCTGTTCTTAAGCGATCCAATAGCACCAGGGTTCTGTGTTTGGATCTTAACTTGACGCCTCTCCAGAATGACTTGAATTTATTGCTCGCAAACATGGCACCCGCCTTCACCTGATACATTTGCCTTTGTGTTTAACCTTGTTCTGTATTCTTTCAATTCTTTACCTCACAGTTTGGTTCCATGAAAATAGTTTCGATGTTAGATCTTGCACTCTATTTTAACCATATTTTAATGTTTGAGGAGATTCACCTTCGACAGCAATAATCCCTTTTAATTTGTTGATAATTTTCTGTACTATAATCCTTCGTTCTTTTCGTTTTCTATCACATTAACATTAAAGAGGCCGATTATATTTAGGCTCAGTGGCTTCTATATACAGTAACTCTATGGTCAATATGTATGAACGGGAACGTTCAATTCAATTGTAGGTAACTTGCCGCCAGCGTGCGTTTTCATGAAACAAAGATGATAGAATGGTTGAAATTTTGAAAGAGAACGAGTTCAATTGTTATTCGTGCAGTTCTTAACGTGGTTAATTCCGTGGGAACAGATCACTGGCAACAATTTTTTTTTTTTTGGACCAACAGAACACTGGCAATATTGAACAGGAGTGTTATTTCATTGACATGTCAAGAACAGGTCCGCTTCGGTGCTCATCTTCCTTTCGACTTTCGGCCATTGACATTTATACGCGCACAAGATCCAATAGTTACGTATATACGCGTTTCCTCGGGGCTAAACCTGAATACGCGTTTTGGGCGTACTTTTTTCGATTCTGCGCGTGTCATACAGGGTATGTGTTATGGGCGTCCGGCCTGCTTTTACTTGGGCTATCTTTTACTGGGTCCAAATAAAATGCATTAAATTGGGCTTCTGCCCTCTTTTGTACAAACAAGGCTTTAAATTGGGCTGGCTTTGTTTATAAAAACAGAAAGCCCTGTAATTGCTCAGCAGCAACTAAAAATGGAAAGATCCATGAAGGATGGAAGCAAAAAGAGAACCATGTCATTGTCAAAAATAATTAGGTACACCGTCATCGAGGACAAAAAAATTGCAATTCAAATTCTTGTACCTGACGCAATATTGCTTCAGTGTATACGACTGGAGCACCTTAATTCCCAACGGCAACAAGCACGTATATATGTCAGTGCTACAACATGAATAGATTCCACCAACATTAATAATTGTAGTTTAAAAAAGGGGAAAATGCGTCACTGATAACTTTGTTAGTGTAGTTGCTTCATATTTATAATTTTATTAATTAAAAATGTAAAGATGCTTGTTGAGTTATGAAAGGGCTGACTGGTCAACAGTTACATATGTACAGTATTTATATAATACAACTTGAGCATCTACGGTGACGCGTGCAATAATAATTAAGGTATTAATCTTTGTCACGTGCAAGTAGGCCTTCAAGAAAGTTCAATTATCAGGCACGAATAATCTTACAATCAACTTTCTGATACAAGGGTGCTTTATCACGTATATGTGCATGCAGGCTTGGTCTTTTGAGCATATGTTTCCCCCTCAGATGAACGGAACGGAAACAGATCATGTGTCCTGGCAATATTCATGGCGGTTCTCAGAACATGAAAGCTTTAACTATGATAAGACATGCGTGGTCCATTGGAACCTAATATCATATTTCATAACACAGTTGCTATTTCTTTCTTTGTTTTTGGTTCTTTTTTCTTGACAAAAGGTTCCATCATCATAACGTCGAAACGTTCGTTTGGCGTATATGATTATGACACTGAACTCAACTTTATGTCTATCAAGACCATTAATGATGATACAGAGGTTTGATTTCTTATGAGTTTAAATATTTAGAATAGTTATCATACATAGACGCAATCCATGAGCTTTTCCATCATGACCATCGACAATATTTAATCTATAGACAGGCATTTCACTCCATCACACGACTTTTATAAAAGGATTTTTTTTTTAATTCTAAGCGAAGATTGGAAGCGAGTTTAATCTGATATATATATATATATATGTATATTATATTTACATGTATAAGTAATCAACTGAGATGATGAAACCCAAATAATTGCCTTAACTGATAGCGGACCCGCACGCAGCAGCTTGGAAATAAAATGGTGATCATAATTAGTGCTTCTTTTTAAAAATTAGCAAGTGGCGAGGAAGCTGATCGATTGAATGTGTTGACATGCTGAACCAAATAATATACGGCCATAATCACAATAACTTAAGTCATGCATGAAGTCAATGTTATTGTCTATAATACAGGGGAAATAAATAAACATTGGTTGGTCTTTATCAGTTTTACAAACCCTCAGAAACGTTCAAGCGAATACATCCAGAAGATAAAGACGTTTCGATTTCACGTTGCATTAAACGCATCGATACCAAAATGCTCATGGTATATATTCAACAGAAATTAAAGACTGTATGGCAGAGTGATGCCTGTAAATGTTTCCTTTGTGAATGCTTTATTTTGTTTCCCCCCCCTAATTATGTCATGTATTCCTCCGCAGAGACATCATTGAATAATCGATCGTGCCGCATATACAGTTATGGACCACATGATAATTTCCCCAAATTAAATCTCTCTATAAGTCAACCTTTACAACAGTACCCACACCTACAATTATATACTTCTATGTCCTGCAATTTCCATGTTTTACTCCCGGACGTTTGTATGGGCTATATGTATATAGAAATCTAATCTAATGGCAGTTAGTATTTATATAATTGTACCATAAATTAATGGTGATGTTAAGCTGGCATGCTCTAAGAATTGATATCCACGCATGCAAGTGGCAAATGTTCCGGTCATCCAAGTTCTCTGGAACAATCCAACCACTGAAACTGTTGTACATAATGATATCATCAAGTTCTCTGGATTCTATGCTTTTGGATTTTCTGCAGAGTATAAATATGCTGAGTTTTGCAATTTCATTAACGTTTTAAATTCATGGGTGGTAAAATTTTCTTACGTGTGTAAGAATCATATTTGTAGAATAATCAAAGTTTATTTTTTATTGGTTAGTGCTCGGCTTATTTAGTAGTGATAGCTATTATGAATTATTCGTCTCCAGTCTTGGTATTCAGATTATAAAACTCATTGATTGCTCGAAGCAATGCCATGCATACAATGTTGGACAATTATTACAACTGACTTACTGTGATCATTTGGTGGTCAACGAGCTAGGTTTAGGAGATTTGTCTAGAGCCTATGGCCCAATATTAAAAATACGTTTTGTTATGAATTTCATTGACTCGTCCACGTACTATTGTGCTGGACAGAAGGAAATACTAGATCAGTCTGTTTGAAGCTTCAAACACATGCCAGTTAGTGTTATCATTATTATTATCATTACTGCTACGATCACTACTATTATTTTTACTACTATTTATATTATTATGCCTCAATGATATGTTCATTACCTTTAAGACCCTGAAGCTATGTGATTAGTACAAATGGAAGTAATATCTTAATTTGACCAGACAATATATTTCTATATTAATTCGAGGATTCGTTTTTATAAATTGATTCTACTTGTTATATTTAGTGTGTGTGTGTGTGTTTGTCTGAATTAATGGCCAACTATTGGAGCGTGAAAGCCCCGCGTGTCTAATTTATTTGAAAAGTTATCGCACTTTTTACGTTGTTAACCATTGAAGCGAATTGATTATTAATTGATCAATATAATTAAAACTATAATTTCCCATTCTGTTAATTAATGTCTCTATTAGTTTCGGCCTTTAATTTAAACAGGCAGTATTGTGTTATAAAAACCTCACTTAAATTACATTTCCCCACTGTGACTCGAGAGATGACTTTGGAGTGGTATGGAGCTTAAGGAGTAAACTTCTGCATTTGGCAACAAGGGAGGCCTGTTTATATTGCAGTTGAATGCAATTGATTATAAAAAAATTAATTATTATAATTGATTATATTATAACATAAAATTAATTTTAACAAAATTAAAAATATTTAGATTATTTAGTCAAATCAATTATAGATGTGCAATTACATAAAAGACAATGCTTTTTAAAATGTAAATATAAAGTTATATATATTATTATTAAATAATCCAAACATACAATAATAATAAATAAATTATATATAATAATAATTCATTTAATATTTATATAATTATTTAACATACATACATGATTTTAATTATAAAAAATTATATAATAATTATAATAAGAATTTTTTAATGCATGTGACACAATATCTATTGAAATTCATCCTCGCAAACAGAATAGATAATACTATAGCTTATTGAAACTTGCTGGACAGCTGGAAAATATGTCTGGTAGCTAAAATTTTTTTGATAAGCAGTAAATGAACACTGTAAAATCGATTAGGATAAGGTACTTCCTTTATCTTATAGACTATATATTATAGAAAAAGGGAGGTGTTTTGATATTTTTTTTTTTACTAAAACCATATTTTCGTTCATGTAATTGATTATGAACTCATGTCTAAACAGGCACGAAGTCCCCGAACATTAAAAGAAGTTAGTAAAAATGTACATGGTATAGCAAATTAAATTAATTACTGAGCCTAGAAGATGCGATACTTTTCTTTGTATTTTATTTTATTTTTTCAAAACAAAAGAAGACATAAATGATTTTTTACCGTGATTAAATATATTAGCAAAAATTCACTACTAGTGCAAACATATAAAAGCTTAAAATTGAGGACAGGGAACACAGGTAGATGTCTATGGTGCAAAATGTGGAAAGCTCCAATTTTTCAGGGAAATAAATCATTTCTTTGGCTTTGTGTGAGAGAGAGACTCATGACCAACTTTTCTCGAGTTGCTTGTGGCCTTCAAGTCAATGGTTCATGTTTGATATGTCCTCAAGAAAATAAATATAATTTTCATGTACTGAGAGATTGCTCCCTTGCCATGGGTTGTTGGAATAGAATAATTCCTCCTGAGTTGAATAGTTTTTTTTGGATGTGTAATAATTTAACAGAATGGATAGGTTGGAATCTCTCTCAAAAATTGATAGTTAATGGTTTTTGATGGGATATTTGGTTTGCTATGCTCTTTAGACAAATATGGATAAGCAGAAACATGACAATGTTTCAGGGTAAGGCTATCGAGGTGCAGACTACACTTGTTGAAGTGCATGTTATGATATAATGGTCAAATTCAAAATGGTTGCTTGAAGATCAAAATATGAGTAAGAGTAGGTGGAAAGCACTTGAGATGGGGATTATAAAGTTTAATATTGGCGGAGCCTGTGGTGGTGATAGTAGTTTCTCAAGTTGTGGTGGAATTGCCTGTGATCACATTAGAAGCATGTTGGAAGGGTTCCTTTATCATATTAGGTAGGGAGGCAGTCTATACGCAGAATTTTAAGAAATGCTTTAGGCGCTTA